CAGGAGTTTGATTTCTGAAATCAGGTTGAATGTCAAGGAGCACTTTCTCTGATCAGTTCATCCATTTTTTAGGGTTTTCAGCTGACCTGAGGTGTTCTGTACTTATTCCATATAGGATTTATGGGCTGATATGATTAGAAAAAGAAGTAGTTTATGGACGTGAATATGCCTTTACTCTCTCAAGTTCAAATCACGAGTAAGATAAAATTAGTGTGAGAATGACCTGTATTTTTTTCAGTTAAATCCCAGTGTAAAGATTATATTGTGGGAGTGGGAGAAAAATACAAACTAGTAAATCATCTGTGCTGCTTGGACATTGAATTGCTTTCATCAAAGTTAAATAAATTGTGCATGTTTGGGAGCACTATAATGCAAAGGCAGAGGTGTCAGCAGGATACAATTAAGTTATGAATTGCCAAGCAGAGATATGATATGGAAAACCCTTACAAGTTGTGAGCAATTCTATTTGGATTGCTCATAAACATTTCAGTAAGATTTCTCACAAATACAGTTGAGGAGAACTTCATTGGCTCTTCTGCAGTCTTTTTGAGCTTGCTCCCCTCAAATAATACTACATTTCTAAATGCATCCATCTCTGTATATGTTGTCTTTCCCCTCAGATATATTTGCTTTCCCTTGTGAAAGTCATGTTTGTGGTTTTTTATCTTGTCTTTAATGAGCTGTAGCTTGTTGCAGAGTATTATGTATTATATTTAAAGTACTAGTACAGATATGCCACGCTCTATAAAATGCAAGAACATCTCTTATATATGGAGAAATTAATCATTTCCAGGGAAGGAAGTTAAAAATATAATTCAATCAAGGCAAATCTGTTCGTTGTTTTTAGACAAGAAGGCAACTATCTTAAGGACAGCTGAATCTCATCTGCAATTACAACATTGTCATTCCTTTATACAAATAATATAATTAAGTAATGCAAACCATTAACAGAATAAAAGAGGTTAAATTGGTTTTTTTCACTCAAAATAGATTCTAATTAGTTCCTGACAGAAAGTTATCCCTATGCAATGCATAACTGGCTAGTCTCACTATTGAGCCTGTAGTCAATGGGCTAAGCTACGAAGCCTGGAGGTGGGTGGGTACACTCCCAACTAACTGCTATTCAGAGCTTTCCTGGTGTCCATTTCAGAAACAAACAAAAGCATCATTTGCCTGATGCGCTACGTGATCTTTTTCCTGTGCACAGCCTGTATTTCTTTCCTCTTCAGGACAGAACTGTAGAGACCAAATCATATAGTGCGGAAAACATGTGAAGGTTCAGCTTTAGGAATGAAAGATTCAGGAACATGCTTTCATGTTTCCCAAGGCCATTTTACAGAATTCCTGCTTCCTGGACTTCTTTTAACAGATGTCTGTAACAGATGAGCATATAGTTTCTTGAGTATATATTCACTGAGAATGGCTAGTTAGTCTTAATTTCCAAGATCAAGACTCTAAAGGCAAAACTGTGATATACAAGACTGCCAAATAACCAGAAACCTGCTGCAGCACCCGAAGGGGCAGTGCGGAGGCTGCAGCTGAGCATGCGGGAAAGCTGGTGCTTGTTCTTCATAAACAGTGGCTCCACAGATCACAGTCCGATCTTCTCTGTTCATTTCTGAGTGGCAAATAAGCCTTCCTGACTGCAGGAGTCAAACCACCTGCATTGTTACAAATTACTTGTTTTCCATTAGGTCTATAGGACATCCTATTCTTTTTTCCTGGTACCATGTTAGTGCCTTTAAAGTTTTGTTTTGCTAGTAATAGAAATTTATTTTAGTCCCTCTTTTGAGATATGAATAAAGAGGTTTCTGTGAACACATAGTCAGCAAATGCATTGATAGGGTCTAATTAATGAATTAGCCATTCAGCGCTACAATAATTCACTTTAACCATTCCCAGGGAATTATTTATATAGTGACATTTCTTTATTAGCAAGCTGCCATTTGCACCACTTCTACATTATTGCTCTCATTATTAATTACATTTTTAATAATTCTTTAGTGCTTGGTCTCATCAATAAAGGAAAATGGATGGTGCCCATGAAGCATTTAGCCTTATCTTAATTCTGTATCCCTACCACCATTGCCAATAGCACAATAGATACATAATAATTTAACTGGCAGTTCTTCCCTTTTGTACGTTCCCTTGTCTCCTTTTCTCTCCTGTATGCCAGTAACCCCGAGTTTGTTCTGTAAAAGCAAATGATGTTTCCGTATTAATGACTATTTAAATAACAGAATTACATTGCAATTGTACTTGTTTCTTTCTGTCCCAGCAAATGACTATGAATTAATTAGCATTAGAACACTGAAAATTCCTATGAATTTTAACATTTTATTTGGAATTGTCTGTGTGCATTATTGAATGATTTTACACCTCCAAATGCAAAACTGATGATAACTCTACAAACCTCTGAGGGAGTGTGTGAGGTCATTAAAGTTAGATTTGCAAAGAAAATACAGGGATTTCTTTCCCACATTATTCTCTCCTGTGCTGATTATGCTGTTTTGGGGCTCTTGCTCAGAGTGGCTCATTTGTACTGAAAGAGTCTCTTATCCTTTATCCTATTCATCTATCTTTCCAAAATTTTATTTCATAAGGGAAATGAACTGTGTTTTTTCAATACTTAAAACATTCTTGCAGGAAAGTGAGAACTTATGTTTTCGGCTGTTAGTGTTGTCTCCAGAGATAACGGTCACTGAAAGGCAGCGCAGCGTGAAAAGCAAATATACATGTCAGAAATGGAAATAACAATTCATACCATATCTTCTTCCTGTCTTCATCACTGATAGCATATTCCCTCCATGAAGGAGGATTCCAGAAGTAACGTTGGCGTTTCGGCATCCAGGCATTTGCGTGGGAAGAAAAATTATGAAGTTTTATTAAAAATTCTCCCTGGAATCCTAAGTTTGTTCTATTTTTCTGCTGATTGTTTATTATTATTTTTAAAACAAAGGGGTTTTTAAATTCATGGATTCACAGGAGCTCACAACATAATTAGCACCCTGCCAGCGACTGAGGGAGAAACACTGGCAAACACAATCCCTCCTGAAAGCAATGAATCCCTCTGTACTACTTACTGAGAAAAATCTTAGTGTGTTAAGCCAGGTGGATTGCTTAAATATCGTTTTTTCCTTCAGAATCACATATTATTTCCATAACCTACATTTTTTAAAAATAAACAATGTTTTAATGTTTTAAAATAAACTTTTTTCCAAAAGTGAATAGCAACATAAGGTTCAAACTTACCACTCTGCAGTATCAAAATTTTCACAAAATGTATAATATTTAAGTAATATATTCTTGACGGTTAGATTCTAAAGAAAGCTATTGAATGGGGAAGAAAAATACTGTCTATGGATCCAGAATCAAAGGTTGTTGAATCATTAAACAGCTTTTAACAGCAGACAGAAGAAATGGTTTCTTCATTTCAGTTCGATTTACTTCAATAACTAGTTCAAAGTTAAGAAACTGTTTAGAAATTGAATAAGCTAAAGCATCATTATCTTTAAATGGTCTATGAATAAATTCTCAGTCTGGGATGCTGAGACTTATGAATTCATTCATTAACTGTATATAAAATTTGCTTTGGTAATAAATCAGTGGTAAGAAGTATAAATTCTTTTGATACATTTTTCCTCTGTATACAACATATTTATTGCAATTTTATTTAAATAATAAATACACTTAAAAGGTTTTGCATTTCAATTGAATCCCCATTTCCATCCAAAGCAGCTTGATACAAGTCATAAGTAAATAAAAATTAATCATCTAGTAAAGAAGAATTATCATTCATTTCTAACAGAATACCATGTAAGTGTTAAGCATTTGAATAATTATGCTGAAATATATCACTGTTTAAATGGAAATGTAAGGTGGTTTTTTTTCTGGTAGTATATGGAAATAAAAGATTAGTTCAAAAATTAGATTCTGCTCCAAAGCAACTTGCTTTTTTAAGTTTACCTACCCACAACAGTCAGACTTACTTGAGGAAACAAGAATAATACACAATCAAAATAAACAGAGAAAGGTGTTTTAAAAAAATCGTTTTACGGTTTTTGTATTTTCAAGTGAGTAGGAATTATTTTCACAAAAATAATGTTTGAAAATCTCATGAGAAATAATTTTATATCAAATTCTTTTTGTGAAAAATATTTGACAGGTTTTCCAGAAATATTATAGTTCAGAGCCTTATAAATAGGCAGTTGTGATATATGGGAGACAGAATGGCTATATGAACATTGTCATAACTCCCTACTTCAGGAGCATCTATACTCAGAATTTTAATTCCATATAAAATTCCAAGATTTCTAAACTTAATTTGATTTCCAACTGGAAGAAAATAAAGTTTTGACATTTTCTAGTTATTAAAATTCTGTTTAAAAGTGGTGGAAATATCACAATGGGTGATATTTTTCAATCAGCAAGAGTAAAAGGCAGTTAATTTAAAATTTGATGTAACAGGAGTTACATTAATTTATCCTAAAAAAAATGTAGATTTATGCTTACATTGTTACTGATTTGGTTTATATGCATACAAAGCTGGTATTTTAGTTAGAAAGACTTGGTTGCTTTATATTAGGCTTCTTTAATGACTTATGAATATAATTGGAAAATTCATATTCTTTCTTTAAAACAATAACCGTGGTGTGTCCTGTTAAATCACACAGCTGACAGAGACGCCTATTCCCAACTTGCTCAAAGTTGTGAATGAATGAATTTGTTTCAAATATAAAATTGCTAGAGAAGCGTTTCAGAGTGTCATTTGCTAGCCACTCTTGTTTGCGTGTATCCAACAACATGCCAGTGTGCTAACAAGGGGAATAAACCTCAGCAGTAGAGGTCCATTTCTCAGTGCTTGCTGAGCTAAAGGACAAGGAGGAGATTTTATTATGTGAGTGGTGAAGAGTGCATTTAAAGCAGCAAGCATCTCTCCGGTTTCAGCTAAGTGCTGATATACTAATTATGCCTTAACTGCATCTCTTGTTTCCTCCTAGGTCTTACTGCTGCAGCATCTCTTGTATCCCTGGCTTGGGCTTTGGCTTCCTACCAAAAGGCCCTCCGTGACTCCCGTGATGACAAGAAACCCATCAGTTATATGGCTGTTATAATCCAGTTTTGCTGGCATTTCTTCACAATTGCAGCAAGGGTTATTACTTTTGCTCTGTTTGCCTCGGTTTTCCAGCTGTACTTTGGGATCTTCATCGTGCTGCACTGGTGCATCATGACCTTCTGGATCGTCCACTGCGAGACAGAGTTTTGCATCACTAAATGGGAGGAGATAGTTTTCGACATGGTTGTTGGGATAATCTATATCTTCAGCTGGTTCAACGTCAAGGAAGGAAGGACACGCTGTAGGCTTTTCATTTACTATTTTGTGATCCTTTTAGAAAACACCGCCTTGAGTGCTCTCTGGTATCTGTACAAGGCCCCACTAATCTCCGATGCATTTGCCATACCAGCACTGTGCGTAGTGTTCAGCAGCTTTTTAACAGGCATTGTTTTTATGCTAATGTACTATGCCTTCTTTCACCCCAACGGACCAAGGTTTGGGCAGTCGCCAAGCTGTGCTTGTGAGGACCCTGCCACTACCTTCACCCTACCCCCAGAAGTGGCCACAAACACTCTACGGTCCATCTCCAACAACCGGAGTGTCACGAGCGAGCGGGATCAAAAATTCGCAGAGAGGGATGGGTGTGTGCCTGTGTTTCAGGTGAGACCCACCGCACCGTCCACACCTTCATCCCGGCCACCAAGGATTGAGGAGTCTGTCATTAAAATCGATCTGTTCAGGAACAGGTACCCAGCGTGGGAGAGACACGTTTTGGACAGAAGCCTGAGGAAGGCGATCTTAGCATTTGAATGTTCCCCTGCTCCTCCACGGCTACAGTATAAAGATGATGCCCTTATCCAGGAGCGCTTGGAATATGAAACTACATTGTAAACAAAACAAAAACACAGCTTGAAGAAGCTCCAACATTACAATCGAAATTAAGGGTTGACAGTAGGGCTGTAGGAATAACTAAACTGCGTATTACAAGTAGAGCAGCAAGCTGTAGTGTTCTTAGTCTGGCTATCATCATGATTATCATTTGATCCACTGTGTGCAGTCTGTCTGCAGGACACTGATACAGCAGCATCCCCTGACCCACACGTGCAGATCAGTTACTTCAGCTGGGGAAACTCACCCACGACTCCTTGCTGCTATGAAACTCCGACTGCACAGTACTTACAAGCAAACCAATAGGAAGGCTCTGACCAGAGCTTTCAACTTTAGCCAGTAGTGCATTTTATTTTAGAAATGAATGATTGATATTTGCATAATCGATGGCAAAAAGAAACAAACAAAAAACCTTTTTCAAATGTAACAGAACTGTAGCACTTAATGTTGCTGTTATGAAAACTGTTTTCTTGGGGAAAAAATACAAGCGTAGTAGTCTTCAACACTCCCATAAATCAACCATTCAGGTTAGAATAGGTTTGCAAAAGAGTTCTTAATTAAAAAGATGCATCGTCATGTTTGTAAGGCTGTCCATGGAAAATAAACTAAATTCTGGTTAATTAGGTCATAAACATTAATACTACCAGAACTGTTTGTTTTCTGTGGGATTTCAAAGTCTTTTAAAATGCAATTTAAGTTCTTCATGTTACTTTCAACAGAAGTCCTATGCAGCTCACTTCTGGTTTTCAGGAGAAATAAGGAGCTCTAGCACGTAGTGAAGTAAATTAAATGATAATCATGATTCAGTGTTCAATTTGCAAAAAAAATAATATATATATATATATGTAAAAGAACAGGGAAGTATAGTTTTCGTATTCTAAACTTTTTGGAGGACCCCATTCAGATATTTCGGAAGAAACTACGAGGAGATGAACACACTGAAACGTCTCTGTTTTAGGACTGAGAATGCATGATTCAGTGTGTGAATGTATGCAGGGGTGACAACAGACTGTGACATGCCATACCCTTCTAGTGCCAAACACTGTATAACTACAAGGTTGATATTGCCTGAGGGACAGAAAACGAGTGGCACGAGCCCTACCAGAACAAGAAGCAGGAAAGACCAATCAAGTTCTCAACGTGTAGAGACAGCTCTGATTTTTCCCACCCAAGGTGAAAGTGATGTCTTTTAAAGGCTTTCAGCCACCTCTTAGTAAGTATATTCACCGAAGTATAAGCAAGTTATGTGGAAGACCCTCTTCTGCCTGTTCAAGACTTGTGTCCAGATACGTCTAAAAATCATGTTGAATCTCTTGTAATAGAGTGCTTTTGCTGCAAGCTTTTGGGTTTTAAATACCTCCCTAAATCTAGTCAATGGTATCCTCCTTTACGTTAAAAGTATCCCCTGATGGTGCTTTCAGATGCATTAAAGGTGCAAGTCAAAAATTTGATAGTATTTTTTTTAAAGCTGGTGCAGAGTGAAAAACTCATGAATTATTTCAATATTTTTGTAAAGTAAAAATATGGTATAAAAAAGTTACTTTTTATAAACCTTAAATCTTTTAATACATTTCATTCTCTTTATAGCTTAGATTTTAAGAATTGGTCCATGAATTTTATCAACTGGCTTCTGCAGGTTGATATAAACCTGGTTTTCACACATTATGGATTTGTTTTGCAGTGTAATGCCATATGAAAGCCTACATGGGTACTTTTAGAATACTCCATAAACCGTGGATCCTGCTTCAAATGTAAGTGGCTTGTAAAGACACCAAGCGATTCCATAAGAAACAATTTGCTATAACTATTTCCATCCGTTTTAGGAAAGTGAAGCAGAACTGAAGAATTACTGTTGTAAATGGCATTGTCAGGATGGAGAAGACCTGATGATTGGTATTGTAATCTTCACTGTCAGGTATATCCAGTGCAGTCACTGCTGTATATGCTGCTGGGTAAATTTCCGTCTTTCCTGTTATTAATATTTGTACTATGAAATGGCCGAGGTTACACAGCTTATCTTTATTTGTATGCGTTCAATTAGCCATTTTTAATGTTGACTTTTTTTATTAGTGAAACGTTCGATACCTGTTGTTCTTTGCTGGGGCGAGTTCCTCAAAACAAAACATCTGTGGAAGTGCAGGAATCTGCAAGTCAGAGGGAACTTTACACAGATCAGAAAACACCCATGCTTCAAGGGTTTCTTAGGTATTTTCAAATTAGGCAGTGGCCAACTGCCGCTATAATAATTTTTTAAATAAAGCAACTCTTTGATAGTCCAAACCTGAAGCTTTGTACAAAGCAATTCCTCTTCCCTCCATGGAGATGTAGCTGATAATTCAGAGAGAAGCACTCATATTTTATGAGAAAGTATACCACTGCAAGAACTGCTAAAATTATTTTGGGAGCAAGTCCTTTGTCCCATCAGATTCAGTAGAGCCTTCACTCCAGAATCAAACGCTAGCTCACGCAAGGGAATTGCTCTTTACCTACCAGGCAAATGGTAAGCTTTGTAATCCAAGATGTGAGGGTTTCTTTCGGAAACAGTTCGATGTATTTGCCACTGCTTTAACAACTCAGAAATTTTAGCATGAGTGAAGCACAGCGGGCAGCACTCTCGAGCCCTTTGGTCAGCACTTACAGAGTTGAAGAAGCATTGCTTCGTACAGAATTTAAAGGCTTACAGTCTGGACCAGTGCTTGCATTGCAAGGTTTCCAAAGAAGGATTGCAGTGAGTTAGTTTGATTTGCTCTTGGTTGATTTTGGAAGGAAGGACACAGAGGCGTTATTTATCCATGTGGGTTTTAATATCCAGCATTTATTTTCTTTGCTCTCCCAGCATTTTTTTTTTTTTAATATTTCTAAATTTATCTTAAGCAAACTACCGCAGGGTCTGAGTGCATAGCGCCATACGTGGCAGTACATATACACAGCTTGTCTTCAGAATTCAGTCCGGCTCTTTGAGGAAGGGGAGAATTAATTTTATACTGAGCCAAAATTTGCTCTCCAAATCTGTTACATTACGTACAGTGATACTTGCACTGAGAACAGGGTGGCCATTGAAATCTTAATGCTCAGCTGACTACATGGACAGTTTCTTAATTTGCTTTGCTGTGAACAGTCGCATTAAAAGTTGTAAGAATTTTTTATAGAAATTGTCAAGATTAAATATAGTCCATGTTGAAATTCCACAATGGCCTTATGGACAGTTAATAATCAATATGCACTATTCTTTTTAACACAGTTTTAAAATCAATAAAGTTCAATTAAGACAGCAATAGCAAAAAAAAAAAAAAAAGTAAAAAAAATATTAACTTCTGCTTTTGAAATAATGAAAAAAAAAATCAGGTCTTTTAAATTTCTTTCCAGAACACGGGAAAATAAAAAAGTTCATAATTATATTCTGGTAAAGAAAAGCAATCACATCTCTTTGTTAGAAGTAAGAATTATGCAAGCATTGTTCTAATGAATGAAACAAACTTGCCAGCAGATTTAATGGTAACTTACCTGGTTAAAGACTTGGTCCTAAAATTTTGAGAGTTGTGGATTTGTATGTTGCAGAAAAGAAAATTTAAGTAGTATTCGCTACTCTAATTAAATAAAGGAAAGGTAATGCATACCTTGTTCATTCAGAAAACATATAAGAAAATGTAAGATAAATCTTTTGTCTTATTTTAAAAGAAAAGTTATTTGTTCTATTATAGGATAATCTTTTTTTTTTTAAAAAAAAAAAGAATTCTTTGAAAATATGTGCAATACTTTTTTCCTGAAGATTTAATGATGAAAAACTCATTTCCACTTTTGTTTATGTCAGTTTAAATATGCTTCTTGTGCTAGAACAACGTTTCTGTGCTTGGGTTATACGGGCTTGATGGCATATAAACACTATTTTCATTGGCAAATCAACAATTTTTCTAATGATTAATTTATATAACACTGGAGAAAGTTTTCCTTCCAAAATTAAATGCTAGGCCTCAGCTGCCTGATTTTGTAAACTTTTAAGCAAAGGAAGTAAATTAAATTTATTGGAGCTGCAATTTTTAATATGTGGTAAATAGGGATTAAACCTAAATTTGTTTAAAACCTATGATAGTCTAGCCAATATATCATTATCTCCCCAAAAGAGCAATTAATGGTACTAAAAGTGGTACTAAAAATACAAGTGCTGCTTTATTTGGAGAGGGACTCCCAATCATACAATATATTCATTTACTTTTTATTGGCCAGCAAATATTCACAACTAGTCTCTTGGTTTTTTTTAGAACCCAAATTAAACAATTTTGAAGTGGTTGTGATTTGATCATACAACTCCTTACGAGCCTTAAAAGTGGTGCTGTACCGAGTTTAGTTGGCTCTGCCGCTGATTCATCTCCCAAAGCCACTGCCCTTTCTCTGCTCCGTCCCCAAAGTCGTGCGATCCGGTGTGACTGAGATGCTGTGATTTACTCTGCACCCCCTGCACTGCCTGCACAATGCCAAGGAAAAGACTTCAGCAGATTGCTGGGGTCCTACTGCTGCCTCTCTTGCTCCTGTGCGTGGTGGGAAGCAGAGGAAATTGCATTTGCGCATCTATCTAAACAACCTTATTTAGGTTGAGTCCCTACAAGGGATGTGTGATCAAAATAATCACAACACGTGTCCTTGGATTTACTAGCCCAACACTGTAATTACTAATTCTGTAGTATAACAATGCAGAATGTGGGAAGAATTGTCTAAATACACAATAAGCCATTTAATTTTGCTAATTGTAGCAATTAGACTAGCTCGCATGAAGCCCATGCTCTCAGCAGAAAGCCAAATGGAGAAAGTGGCAAACAGCCATTTATATACCAGAGACATTATGTTATGAAACCCTCCCTTGACTGTTTACAGAACTATGTCTTTTCATTACGGCATTGAATCCATTCCTCTTTATTCTGATAAAACAGATAAAGCACAAACTGAGAACCGATTCTTTAAAATCTGGGAATTAAAAAAACCTGCAACGGATTACTGCAATTCACATA